TGGAGGAGCTGAAGGAGAGGTGAAGATCTCTAGTTAACTTACCAATTTCCCTGGTCAGTCTATATTCATTGACTTTTAGTCCTTATAAAGTCATTTTTGTTTAGCTAACATGTCAACAAACCTGGTTGGCTAAGTAGACTACATCATCTGAATTTTCAAAATTAACAAATATTGACTATATGTATATGCATTATATACTTACATAACTTATTGCATTTTATTTGAAGTGTTAATTGGCGAGTTCTTTATTTATATATATATCAGTATTTTGAAATGTTTACAATATCATTCTAGTTCTTCTGCTGGTGCACAGTGATGCTTCAAAATGATTGTTTTCCTTGGTCATCCTTGTTAAGAATATTTTCTAACAGAGCCTCTCTGCCAGTGCAAAGGAATCCAATCAGACCAGATTAAACCTAATTAAATGCCTGAGTTTAATAGATGGCAGACTCCTGGGTGGCCAGGAGCATGGCAGGCAGAAGACAGAGGGAATGCACACGCAAACCCAAAATCACGTGTTCCTTGTCAGTGTGACCCTAAATACCCTGTGTGAGTGGCCTTTACCCTACCCAGGGAGGGGTCAGCACTGGCAGACTGGGAGTTGGAGTCTAAGTGCTTGGCAGGCTGGGAATTGGAGTCTGGACCAACAATCCTATTTTATTTTGTGTGTTTAAGAATATGAAGATGAAGTAGTATATAGTATTCTTCATACTATCAATAGTATCCTGTCTGTAAGCACAGGAAAGAGCCTCTGAGCACTGATAGAGAAGCTGAGGGAGACGGAAGAAAGGGGAGATTGAGCATGTGGCCCTATCTGGGTCCTGGTGGTAACAGCTATAGTAGTACCTAATAAATGTGTGTGTGCCTGTGCATGTGTATGTGTAATAGGTACCTTCTCAGCCCTATTATTATATAATTGTATTGATTTATTTAAGATAAATATTGGGCTAAAGAGGTGAGTAAAGGCATTTGCTACCAAGCATAATCTGAGTCACATCCCCAGAGCCCACATGGTGGAAGGTAAGAATGAACTTCTACAAGTTGTCCTATGACTTCCACACATGTGCCCCTTGACACATAGACACACACCAATAAATAAATGTAAAAATAGATATTTAACTATGAGATATTACTTCAGATCCATAAAAATGACTATTAACACAAATGGCAAATAGTAATTAATATTTTGAGGGTGTAAGGAAATTGGAATTGTCACATATTATAAGTGGGAATGTAAAATGTCATTGTCATTCTGGAAAATAGTTCTTCAGATGGTTAAACATGAAGTTACTACATGACCTACTAACTCTTTACCTGGGTTTATAGCCAAGAAAGGTGAAAACATGTACACACAAGGACCTATACATGAATATTCACAATAGTATGATTATAAATACTAAAAATGTTCATCAACAGGTAGATGGATAAGTAAAATGTGTTATTTCATACAATGAGATATTATTTAACAGTAAAAAAGATGAAATACTAACACACTGATACATTCTACTTCTTAGCTGATACTAAAACGTATTATCTTAGGTTAAAGAATCCAGTTATAAAGAATTATAAGATTCTGCTTATATGGAATTCCCAGAACAGGCAAATGTATAAAAAAAATTAGATTAGTGATTGTCTAGTACAAAGAGTGGGGTAGAGAAATGGAATTGAGTGCTAACGGTTACTTGTCTTCTTAGGAAGTTAATAAAAATGTTTTGAAGCAGATTGTGGTTATGTTTTTATAGTTATGTGAACATGCAAAAAGCAATTTGTCTGATTTTAATAATGGATTATTTGAATTGTTTAACTACCATAACCTATGTTGCTTGGGTACTGACCAGTGCTGCTTGCACCCTGGAATCCTGACTAGGGACATTCACACATGTACAAAGCCAGGATCAAGCTGAGAGATCTCCTACTTCTAATGGAGGGTGCCTACTGTCACCATAATTCAGAACCTCAGTATGTTTATTAGGCTCAGGGATGACTGCTTGGGATTGGATACCAATCTCTATCAACAGATAAAAATAGCCATTGAGGGGCTTGTTCCTGGAGAAGGCTGATTCTCCCTCTTTTAGTAGCCATTAATTGTCTATAGCTCTTCATTCAGAAGCTATATGAGCATAAAACCCTCATTTTGAGATGTCTCCCATCAAAACTGAAATATCAACTGGTGTTGTCAGTGTGTAGGTCTCGTTTAGGGGACTATATTGTGAAGAATTCATGGATGTGACTCTGTCATATATAGAGGACACTATCTTGTAGCACACATCCTGATCCTCTGGCTCTTGCAATCTTTTGCCACCCTCTTGGACCATGTCCTCTGAGCCTTGGTGGAGTTGTATGTAGATGTTTATATCCGCTGGGATAGGCGCCTCACCATATTCACTTGTTCTCTGCACTTTCTCAAGTTGGGTATTTCTGGAATTTTTATTTTGCTGCTAAATGAAGCTTCTTTGACGGGTAAGAGCTATACTTATCCCTGGATAAGGAAATGTGTAATTGGAGTTTCTGTCACACCAACAGCTCCCAAAAACCCTCAGCTGCTTCCCAAATAATTGACTCAGAGGCTTAAATAGAAATTATAAATGCTTGACTGATAGCTCAGGCTTGTTACTAGGTAACTCTTACACTTAAATTAACCCATCATTCTTATCTCTGCTTAGCCACATGACTTGGTACCTTTTCTCAGTACAGCATTCTAATCTTGCTTCTCTGCATTTTCCTGGGACTCACTGACTCTTCCCTTCCTCTTCCCAGAATCCTTAATTTGGTAGCCCCACCTATGCTTCCTGCCTTGCTACTGGCCAGGTAGTGTTTTATTAAACTAATCCAAGTGACAAATCTTTAGAATGTATAAGAAGATTATTCTCTAGCAGCTATGTATTCAGAATGCTGTTGGGAACCATACTGGTTTAGGAAAGTGGCAGTAGTAGGTTTTCCTCTAGGGTCCATGACCTCGCCAGCCACAGGTAGTTGACTAAGTTTACCGTGACAGGCTTGAATTCTCTCTAAGCATTGAGCAGGGATTAAGTTCAATTAGATGGCTATTGACCACCCCTGAGCTATAAGTGCTGCTTGTGCACCCTGGAATACATCTTGCCATGCTGGTAATGCTTGTGGCTCATGGACTTTACAGCTAGTTAGAATTTTGGTTTTTTTTGCCCCTTGGCATTTTTGGATGCTACGAGAGCTAGGCCTCAGGGAGAAGGCTTCCAAGTCAGTTTCAGTTTGTTTCCTCCAAGGCCTGTGTCTGAAGTGTGTAGTGTCTTCAAATTCATACGCACAAAGTAGGATAGAATCCTTGCCAACTGTACATCTAATAAGTGATTGCTAATCAGAATATACAAAGAATTCAAAAGCAGTCAAGAAAACAAATTACCCAATTAAAAAGTTCTCAAAATAAGACAGAAAATTTGTTAAGCATCTTTAAAAGTGTCCAGTATCCTTAGCAATTAAGAAGATGCAAATTAAAAGTACTTCAAGATTTCATACTCTGCTCCACATGACTGAACTCAAGCAACTAACAACGGTGCTGGTGAGGATGTGAGGAAAAGGAAACCTCATTTACTGTTGTTGAGGTTACAAACCTGTGTAGCCACTGTGGAAATCAGTGTGTCAAAGTTTCAGAAAACTAAAGGTAAATCCACCTTGTGACCTAGCTGTAACTCACCGCATGTGCCCAAAGGACTCAACATTCTACTTCAGAGACACTTTCTTAGCCATGCTCACTGCTGCTCTATTCATAATAAATACCTAGGAAATGGAAGCAACTGAAATATTCTCCTACTTATGAATGGGTAATGAGAATGTAGCACATATACTGAATTCCATTCAGCTTTGTAAAAAATGAAATTGTGAAATTTGCAGATAAATGGATAAAATGTTTTACCTTCTTGTGGCCAGACACTGCATCGCTTGTAATCTCAACCGCTTTATTACCTGGCAGTGTGTCAACGTCTAGCTCCAAATAAATTTATCGAATTACTTAGTGGCAGTTCTTACATCAGTGGTTCTCAACCTGTGGGTTTCGACTCTCAGTGTCCCTTTCACAGGGGTTGCTTAGGACCGCCATAAAACATAGGTATTTGCATTGCAATTTGTAACAGTAGCAAAATCACAGGTATGAAGTAGCAATGAAAATAATTTTATGGTTGGGGGTCACCACAACATGAGGAACTTAATGTATTAAAGGAATAAGGAAGGTTGAGAACTACTGTCGTGTGTGTGTGTGTGTGTATGTGTTTCAGTGAGCCACTAGATGGAGAAAACAGAACCATTTCTCTTAATTAGTGGTAGAAGACATTAGAACAATTAAATTCAACTGAGTGTAATAGAACAATGAATGATTCGTGAGTTGGTAAGTCATCAGAGACAGAAGAGGTTCAGCAGCTGTCAGTGGTGTGGGCAGGTAGCATTTCTGGACAGTAAATGGAAGTGAGATCCAGAAGCAGCTCCACTGGTCACAGCTCACAATGAGCATGGTCTTTCCAGCTGGCAGATGAGAGCTACTGAGACATGGCTGCTGCGATCTGCTGAGAGTCCGCTGTGTTACAAATACATGCTTGTAAGCTCTCAGTTTGGATACTAAGATTGCAGTCCATCAGATAGGACTCAGTAAAGAGGCACCTTCAGACCACATTTACTTAACACTGGGTAGGTGCCTTGACAAGTAGGTATTCCATCATGGATGGCTAATTTGGGTTCAAATCCCAAATACCACTGTTTGTGAACTTTGAAATTGTGTTCAAATTACTCTGGTTTTTAGTTTCTAGACACACATACACACACACACAATAATAATAATAATACCCATAACATATGATTTTACATTTTACATAGAAAACTTTCAGCACTAGTAATATGTTGAATACTTACATAATTTTTGTTTGTGTTGATGATTTCTAGTTGAGTGCTTCCCTCCAGAGGAGTCAGAGCATCTGTTAGTACCTCCTGACTGTGTGTGCTCACAAGCACTGTTGGTGTGTACTGTCTTCCAACAGGTACAACGGAAGAGATATGATGCAATTCTTAAGCGTTTGCATTGTCAGGTGAACAAGATTCAATTAAATAGGAGGAATTGGCAATGGAATATCCAACAACTGGAAAACACTGCAGCTGAATTAAGAAAACGCCTCGGAGTAAAAGAAGCCCATGAAATACAGAACAGACCAACAGCATAGTAGGAAAGAACACTGTGACAATTCTTCCATCTCTTGAGAGTCAGCACCCAGTAGAGACAGAGGCCTGTCACAATGACCAATATTTTCTTTTTCTTTTTCTTCTTCTTTTTTCTTTTTGTTTCAACCAGGTAGCTATTGGCTAAAGTGCCTCCCAGTCTATAGTGCACAGCACTAGGTAGACAGCAGCAGAGCTTGCAGGAAGCCAGCAGAAGAGAGGGTGTGCACATTCACATGGTCATTTCACCCTAAAGCCTGCTTGTAACCATGTTGGATTCACTACCCTACAAAGTAAAAACAAGTGGATTTTCAATGACTTAAATTGTTGAGATACTTAAAAAATAGTTGTCTGTTTCAAACTTTTTATTAGATTATTTTACGACTGTCTTTGCAGTAGCCCATGAATATTAATATTCATGATAATTTGATTATATGTTTAATGCATCAACTGTTTTTATTATGTTTTCTCTTTTCTCCAGGAGGTAGCAATCATTTTTCTTTGTTATTAAATAACATATTTTAGAATGTTACAATCCATAAGATTTGTGTTTACTCTTCAGTCTATAAATTCTTTATTCCTATATTGCGCCTAGAATAAAACTACAGCATCATATAAGGTAGGCATACAATAAAACTCTTCAAGGAGGTATTTTTCCACATTGAAAGGCAATTTTTTTGTCAATGGCAGTAAATTGAATATGAAAACACCCCTGAAGATAAGATTGCTCTCCTTCATGCTCTATGGATCACAACTACAGAGAAGTAAAAATAAGATATTAATTACTTAAAGATGCAGTTTTAAAATATTCACTTGTAGGATTAAATAATTTCTAAGAAGCAACATTGAGAAAATATTTTAAATTCATTTCTCACTTCCTATATGCCTAACATTCAGTGAGTTGTGTAGTTGATAGAAAACCTGATAGTAGTAATTTCATTATGGCTGGTGTTAATAGTCTTAGTGTGGCTTAGTGTGGCTTACTACAGTTAACACGTCACAATACCATTCCTGTAACACAATCCGCATTGCTCCGTGACTCAGAAGTGCTACTCCAGATAAAAATGGTTAAACTTTCAGTCTGTGGGGGCGCTCACTGTGCTCAGCTTGAGACAGGGTTGAATTAGATGCCGCACGTCAGATATATGTTAGCACACATGCATATGAAAAGTTCTAGTTTTCCCATCTCCTTGTAAGTTTATCATGTGATCACTAGCATCTTGAGTTATGGTTTCAGGAAAATGCAGTGTGAAAGATCAGATACAGGCAAAAGGTGCTAAGGAATTCCCGAGTCAAGACAGTCTTAGGTGGCGGAGTATGCTTTATTGAGGATTGCTGGAGGTTTGTTTCCTATTGCCCTGCTTTAAAAAAAAAAAATTGATCAAAGCAACTGAGAGGAGAAAACACTAATTTTAGTCTATACTTCCAGGTCACAGTTCCTCATGGCAAGGAAGTCAGGACATCAGGAATGTAATGCAGCTGATTGCATTACTTCCACTGTCAGAAGAACCATGCAAGCACTTTCTCTACAGGATGCCCTGCCCAGGTAACGGGCTCACCTACAGTGGGTGGGTCTTCCCACCCTAAAGTAATCAAGATAACCCTGTAGACATGCTCAGCGGTCCATCTTCCAGGTGGTTCTAACTCTTGTTAAGCTGACCATTCACCCTAGCCATCACAAGGAACACACTGGAAGCACAGTCAAGAGCGCCTACAAGACCAGTGAATCCCCATGAAGGGTCAGAGGGAAGAGCATTTAAAAGAGTGGCTGTCTTCTAAGCCACATGGCCCCTGGTTTTATCTTAAGCTAGCATCAACATCGGGCATATTCCTGCTGCTGAAAAGGTGCCATACCTAGTCTTACGGCTGGGCATAGCACCTTTATGGTGGTGGTGGTGTTCTTGTTTATCTATACTATGCTAGGAAACTATGCAGGGAAGTAAGGAGATAAGCCAGGGCTTCTTGGAGACAACCATACTCATTATGATTCAAGACCTGAGCTCAAGTCTAGTCAAACTAGAACTCTCCAGTTATGCATTTCAAGCTTCATTTTTAAATAAATATACAAAGCAAATATTAAAGCCACTTGAGATGAGGTTTCATATTGAAGAAAACAATGATCAGCATATTTTTTATAATGATACATGCAGTTAGTTTCAATTTTATGATAGGTTATATAAAAGACATTATTGTTTTTATTCATTAAAATGATTTCAGATAAGGGGGGCTTTTGTAGCAATCAAGATGGAATAGCAACTGGGTATGGTATCTCAGGCCTGTAACGCCAGCACTAAGAGAGGCTTGAGGCAGGGGCAGCACAGGAGTTCCAGGCCATTCTGGGTCACATTGTGCATTTCAGGCCAGCCCAGCTTCAGTGTGGGACTTGGTTTCATACAAACAAACAAACTAAAGAGATGACTCTGTTGGTTGATTTTTTTTTCAACTTGACACAAGCCAGAACCATCTGGAAAGAGGAAAACTCAATTGAGAAAATGCCTCATCAGATTGCCATGTAGGCTAGCCTGTGTATCATTTTCTTGATTAATAATTGGTATAGGAGGGCTGAGCCCACTATGGATAGTCCCACCCCTGGGTAGGTGGTCCTGAGAGGAATAAGAAAGCAGGCCAAGCAATCCACAGAATCCTCTATGGTGTCTGCTTCACTTCCTGTCTCCAGGCTTCCTCCTTGAGTTTCTGCCCTAACTTCTCTTCATGATGTAAGAGAAAGTAAACCCTTTTATTCCAATTGCTTTTTGTTCTGCTGCTTATTACAGCAACAGCAAGTAAGCCAGAACACCAACCAAGCTCAAATATCCCGAAAATTTGAAGTATAGTAAAACTGATATTTCAACACATAATAAAGTCTACAGTTAGGGAATTGTGTTATTTTTTATTTTTATGTAACACATATAGAGCTAGTATTCTATGTTGGGCTATTCACTGTTACTATAATGAAATTCCTGAATCTGGGCTCTTCTAAAGAAAAGAAATTCATTTAGATAACAGTATCTAAATGAATTCAGTTTGTAACTGAAAGTCCAAACAGCACAGCTCCTGCTCTGGCCATGGATTCTTTACAGTACTTCTTCATGGCATGTGGCATCATTGTGGGGACACATACAGAATGACAGATTACAGTGTCAAATATCAAGCCACGGGGCTACTGGGGACTAATTGGGGCCCTTGGATAACTGGGGCGGGGAGTGTTCCTAGGTCAAGTGCTGCTCAAATATCATCTTCTGGTTGTGCTATACCTGTAGTTGCTTGCTTTAACCATGGTCAAGGCAAATGTTCTATTTTTGACCATGCCTCTTCTAGTCACTTGACTAGTTGTATGATTTTCCAAAACACTACATATACATGCCCAATCACAAAGCCTTTTCTCAGCTATTCAATTCTGCCCTTGGATGTGCTTGCCAACTTTTATCTGAGTGACTCAGCAAAGTTTTCCTCTCTAAAAAGCGACAATCTTCTACATCTATGATTTCTAGACATTATTTCTATCGTGGACTTTAAAAATCCTAGTGTGAAGCTCAAGACTAGTACCGGAGCTCTTCGTTCTCAGCAGCATCCATCCTGAGCCTGCTAGGTGTTACTACCTAATGATCAGAACCAGGCAATAAATGCAAGGAAACAGTGGGAAGAAAGAACCTGCAATTACTGCCTCACAAATTAACTTGCCATAGATACACCCCAGGGTAAATTAGAGTTAACCAATGTGAAGAGACTGGTATGCTCTTAAAGCCTTATTTTAAGAACAATGGAGGTTCCAGATTGAATGTATAAGAGCCAGTCATGACAGCCATTAAAGATGTTTTCTGCTGTGCCAGTGCAGCCTGGATGCCAAGTCCAAGCGAAGGATGTCAGGATTAATGAAACACGCACTCTGGATGTTGCAGAAGCCCCTTATTGTACATCACCAAGGGGGTTTTATACCTAACCCAGACAAGTGGGTCAGCAGGATGGAGACCTCATTGCCGGACCCTTGGGATCCTTGGGTTAGGGCCAAGACAATGCTTACTCAGGAAGCAGGGTTGGTAAACAACTCTGAAAGTACAAAACTTGTAAGTTTCTCAAAAACTCATAACAACAAGGGCAAGAAAGGTCACCAACGGGGGAGGTAGGTAGGTCCATTAAGTCCCATTACTTTCGTGACCAATGTAAGTAACTTGTACAAATGATCTTTAGACCAGATCTCTTGCAGGCAATTCGGTAGTAGTGCTATTTTCCAAAGCACGGTGTATATGAAACAACAGTAAGCAACAGAAATGTTCTGAGTGAACACGCTATGACTGATTTGACAAATGGCATACATTCTTTCTGTTAGCTTACAAAAAGAGGTTTAAGGTGGATATTATTTTATATATAATTAGTATAAACCTCAGTGTTTGTTTGGGAACTGGCAGTTGGGAGATAAACCTCCAGATACATCATTCCCTTGAATTATAATACAAATATAGAACTTATAGTTTAGAATACTCAAAAATATCCATCTGTTCTGTAAATCAAGATTAAATGTTCAGACACACATACATCTTTCTGATATTAACTCTAAACACCTTGGTAATATTCTGAATGAAACTTAAAGTTAGGCAAACACAGGCTTAGACAAACCTTACCTAAGATATCATCACACAACTCAGCAGGGGCAGAGTTGGAGCTCAAAATCCTAGCGCATCTGCCTGGCAGCACAGGAAATGACTGAAAAAACTTCAACTTACCGACAATGAGCGGTAATATTTTTGTCTATGTCATTTTTATAGACTATAGGCATAAAATAAATTTGACCAGAGAAAGAAAATTTATAGTTAAAACTGAGGAGCACTGAAAAGCACAGGTAGCATTACATGAGGGTCAGCATCTGAGAGCCATTTTTGGTTAAGGAAAATGGAATGCACTTTATAGACATTGCTTTGAAGCCTTTCAAAGTTCACCCAGGAGATGCCACTGAAACTCTTATCGCCTTAACCGCACACAGAAGTCACTGTCCACCCATAAAAGTTGCAAAAGGCGCATGCTAACACAATTTGGGACTAGCAGACTGACAGTCTATGAATCAGGAGTGTGTGTAATTTTGATTAGTGAGTTGCTCGTTTTTCAGTTGCTCATTCAGTATTGTAAATATTTTATTTTTCATTAACCAAGCTAATGATTACCAAAGCTAATGATCAAAAACTAAATGGTATGTGCCTGTCACAAATAACCC